CTTATCATTTGCTTTTAAATTCTGTTTAAAGTTTATATTGCTTTTCCTTAATTTTTTTCTTTGTCTGCTTTTAACCTTAGAAAGGTCTTAGGATCAGATATTTATATTTTACACATTTTTCTACTGCGAAGAGCTATAATTTAATTGAAGTGACTAGCAGAATAGCAGAAAATGCTTTAGTTATTTCTTTAGCAAGAAATCAGCATCTACTTTTTTTTTTTGTACTTGGGATTAAACTCAGGACCTTTCGATTGTGAGGCAGGCAGCAGAATCACTGAGCTAAATCTCTGGCCTGAGCAACAAATCAACTTCCCAGTTGTATTTACTGAGTAATTCAGTTTCCCATTTATCTGAACAGCTATCCTGCTTACCAGGGGTTAAAATCTCATATATTTTTACATCAATTCCCAGGTTTATTGCTCTATTTTAGTAGTCTGTCTATCTCTTGGCATTAACCCTACTGTACCTTCATTGCTTCAGCTTTATGTTTTTATAGATACAGTAGTCCTTTCTTCAACTGTCATTTCTTTATCTCTCTAGGTGAATATTAGAATCATTTTTATAAAGGTCTGTCTCTTCAAAAGAGACAAAAAAGTCCATCAAGATTTTGGCTGGGTCTCATTAAATTCTTAAGCTAACTGGAAAACTTATTTTTTACATATTACAATTATGGTCATACCAAAATTCAAGTTAGTGAAAAAGACTAATACTCCATCCGAAGACATACTTTTTCTGTTAATATATATTACTGTAATTGTGAATTCTGATCCACAAAGTTTCTGTCAGAACTAGTCCCATGTTTTTTGTTCCCCCCTCTCAGAAAAATACAAGTCTTTCTGGTTAACAGCACAGTTACGTAACTGTTTCAGATGCAGTAGGTTAATTTCCTTTGATTCTCATGCAAATTAGTAACTGCTTTATTCTTATTCTCTACAAAAAATGATCACCATTCTCACTCTCTAAGAGTGTTCTCTTCATCTCTAATCATAGCTATGTTGCAGTCTAAAAAGCTTTTCTACTATGGGTTTTTTACTTCTGAAAGGACTTTGGGAAAAGAATAAAAAAATCTTACTGATTTATAATTTATGTTAACAGCTTTAGTTAAAAAAGACTCATTATTACAGGTCTCAAATGTTAACCTCCATAGTATGAGCTCTCTTGGTTTAATCCAGTGCTTACAAGAAATTTCGACTACTCAGGGACCATTATCTTCTCAGAAAAGAAAAAAGAAACAGGAAAATGAAGACAAGAAAGTAATACCAAAGCCACTTATATAACTCAAAGGCAACATGGCAGAATGACAGACACAAGCCTGAACATACCGCAATCACAATCAAGTCTGTCACCCCAAGAAGGAAGATGTTTTGAGAAGGGGTCTTGCTAGTAGTCCAGGCTGGCTTTGAATTCACAGTGATCCTCTGGTTTTAGCTGCCTAAGTGTGCCACCATTCCCAGCCCAAGAAGAAAATACAGTATTACAAAATCCAAGAAAATCCAATCATGACCCTTCATTATAGTGGAGAAAATTAAAATTAAATAGAAATAACAATCTTTATAAAATGACAAATTGCTATATTTCGTTTGGCATATTGTATTACCTCTTTAAAATATTACTTAGACTGGAAATATTTTAAAACATTCCTAAGGTAAGCCTTCTTTTAAAAGAGGAAAAATTCAAACAGCATTCCATGTCTATCTTTATAGTCACTAAACAATAGGAACACTTTTCTTTCCATACCTTCAGGTGGTCTCTGCAACTGGGATTTCCGATAAAACAACATGTAGGCACTTTCTTTACCCTGGAATTGCTGTTCAATATCTTTTTCCTTGATTGGTTGGACTTTGGAATCATTTATATCAAACCAGTGGGGACAGGTGGTGTTATCATTTAATCCTGGAGATTCTGAAGCCAGCATCTGGAGAATCTGTTGCTCATTACTTTGCAAATCAGACTCAACGTGGAGAGAAAGCTTCTTCTGTATACTAACTGTACTTTCATCTGAACTGAGCAGAAATGTCTGAGAATGGAGCTTTAAGAACTACACAGAAACAAAAAACAAATACTAAGTTAACATTTTAAAAAAATTAGACTTGAGAATTATTTTTCTTCCTTTTGGGGATTTTTAAACTTTACCTTTATTTTTCACCAATGAGCAAGGCTGGGGGTGACTTGTTCCAGTATAAGATGACATTTAATAAAAATCAGAATGCTCTGTTCAACTGTCACATCAAGGGAGAGAACTGCCAAGCCATAATCTGAAAATCATTTCTATACCCAAATGTTTTTTATAAAAAGTACTTAAATGAAACCCATTAGGCAGAACATAAGTCTTCTGAAAGACTTAAAAACAATCTAAAGAAAGCATAAAACTATGGCAATCACAGTGTACCACTATCAAATTTAAAACTAACAACCCAGACTTTGCTGAAATAAAGTAATAATTGTAAGCCTTGGTTATCTTTTAATGTTATGGTCTTTTCTGGGAGATGATATTCAAACTTAGGAAATCAGGGCATTTACAGGTTTAACTTGCAATCCCGAAGATTGTGTCTTCTTTTTGCTAAAGGATTAGGAGGGAAAAACCATTTGTGGCAGGAAGCATGGCATGGCAAAGTGGCTGGGACAATTGGGGATCACCTGTTAATCAAGGAGAATGCTGTTTTCAGTTCTTCTGGCACAGGATCTTCACAGGACCAAGCCAAGCCCTGCACCCAATACCAATCAGGGAATGCTATTTTCAGTCCTTCTGGCACAGGAGCTTCTCGAGATCAAGCAAAGCCCTGTACCTGATACCAATCTTCTGGCAGGAGCTCAAGCAAAGTCCTACTCCTGATACTAACCTTATGGCATGAGAATACTTGGGTTTTTGATGGGATGGCTTAGATCTGACATCAGAAAGAGGATATCAAAGACAGTGACCATTAAGCTTGTGGCTGCTGATCTCCCCCCGCGCCGCACTCTGTAAGAGTGAGAACTCAGAGTGTACAGTACTTCTTTTCCTACTTTAACTGGCCTATACTCACTCTTCAGACCACTTCTTTGCAGAGCACTTTTTCTTCTTCTTGAACACTTCTTTTGCCTTAAATGAACATTAAACTTTCACCTTTATCAACTGTTCTGCCCAATTCTTTGATTGGGACAGTAAAAGCCTAGAAAGGACCTATTGGTTATGCCTACATTTGGCAAGCCAGAGAGAGGTAACAAAGGGAGCCAGGAGGTAAGGCCTTTAGGGACAGTTTTGTTTCTCTCTGAAGTCTATGTAGTCAAGCCAAGAAAGACTGGTTTAGTTTTTTCCTTCCCCGCCCTTTTTTCTCTAGGAAGGGCCCAATTCTCTCCCAAGCTTCCTCTTGTTCCTTCTCTCCCAGGATCCTAGAGAGCCAGGAAGCTAGGGAGTGGTAAAAACTGGTGGAAGCTGGGGAGCTCTGGCTCCTGCCAGTGGCCATGAGAGGACAGCTGATGGAGTGTGGAGTAAGAAGCCCGCAGTGATGCAACCTCATGTGGCTGTGGCCTCTTTAAGGCTTGGCTTCAAGGCCAGTCTCTGGGCAAGGTGGAGACTGAGTCTCCAAGTGGCAAGAAGGCTGAGCTGCATGCGCGTGCGCATGTGTGTAGACAGACCTTTGACCCTTGAAGAGATGGTGGGAGCCACAGTCTGACCCCCACTTCCTCTGTGGAATGGGCGAGGCTGTTGCACAGGAGACCATGGTTCCCACTCTACTCCAGCTTGTGTGGAGGGAATGCCCAGATGCTTGGCTCCTGGCAGTAGCTGGAAAGGAGGGACAGGATGGCGACAATGCCAGCGTGGACACTGTTATCTCCGGGGCTATGGGCCGGGAGCAGGGCAGAGGCACAGGTGCAGGCTGTTTTCTGCTGCTCTCCCTCTCTTTGGTTATTAGAGCAGACTGTTGCCTTTCACATAATTCTCTTGTTTAGAAAACTAGTTATAAATCTTGACTGCTTAGATTGACTAAGAAAAATTTATACAATGTTTATAAATCTAAAATCAAGAAAGGATTTTACCTGAAAAAATCTAAAGATGTTGGAGCAAGTACAGGGCTTGATATGCTACTGCTTTGAGAAGGCCCTGAAGGGATCAAACACAGCAAAAGGAAAACTTGGGGAGCTATAAGTTCCTGAAATCCAAGAGAGATAATGGTGGTCAGATCTTGCTCCACCTTGAGTGTAGAACGCAGAAACAGAGAAGGCAGGCCTGTGACACAGTCTAGGTATTTAGTTATTGTATTAAAAGCATGTACGAATAGAAAAAAATGTCATCTAGGATATTTCACTATTCCTTGGAATTTATTTATATTTGAAAATGTTCAAAGTAGAAAGTTAAGGGGAAATCCATACTATAAATACCTCCTAAGCAATAGTCCAATTAACTGCATTTTAATTTGCTATGATATTGCTTGTTTTCATTTTAAACGTAATAGATTCCATATATACACTCTTTCCAGAACACTATAACCATGTACAGTAAGTTTTTATTTCCTGATGACTAAATCTCTCAACTTTTTACATTTTGAACTGAAAATGCCTTTTAATGTTAGAGCAGGTTTCAGAATAGAAAATGTTTTAGTTGTTCCGTGACTTTAATTTGGGGTTTTTTCTAACACCAAAATAGCTGTGGCAGGGAAAATTCTCATTTGTATATAATCTGGGTGACTAGCTTATATGGCTTGGACAAGACATTTCAACAGCTCACAATTAAGCATGGAGGCCTGTACATGGGGCAGTTAAAAATGAATATCAGAAACCAAAAATTCAGAAATATAAACTGTGCCAAGAGATGAAACGTATACTGTGTGACCACACATTGGCTCTTTGATAATGCTGAGAAAGGTTTTTGTCAAGATAAATCTATATACAAGACAGAATCTAGACAATAAGCAAAGTCAACTCCCACTGGCTAAATCAACACAGCCATACTCTTTGATGATAGTCACATTTCTACTATAGAGGTTATATAAATGAATTGATATGCAGATCAGCTCTTACTAACAAATTGAAATCTATACTTGAAAACTTAAAAAAAAGAAAAAAGAAAAAAAGAAAGAAATCTGTTTGGAAATCAACCCACAGGTTGCTAGAGTGTTTTGGTAAAGGTTATATACTTCCTGAAGCAAGTTATATCTACACTAGGTATAAGCTGGTAAAAATTGCAGTTTCAGATCAACCTGAGAGTAAAACTGCTCTTTTAAGAAAGAACAGCTTCTCTAAGAAAGACTGCTCCTACTGAAAACACATGAACAAACTGATGAACATCTGCTCCTTCAATATGCAAATAACTCCACAGTAGTGAAAGCTAATAAGCCTAAAGCTGCAGAGTCTGAAGTTGGGCCCTGTAATGGTTGTACTCCTGTTGAGCCCTTTAACAAGTCTACTCGCATTTCTCTGCAAAAAACCAAGTCATTATTTAGCCAAAAGAGTTTAATAAAAATAAATGTAATGTTGCAAGCATCATAGGACAGTAAGAGGGAAAGACTGACAAAGCTGTTGCCGATTGTGGTGTGATTTCCTTATTGGGATGTGAAGTAATGTAAAAAAGTTGTTACACACTACCTGACTTTAATTGATCCAGAGTCAAATCCTCTCTTCACACCAGCCCCAGTAATGACAGGAACGACTTCTCTAGAAGAGTATTATTTCAGCCAGTGTGGCAGAACAGAAAAAGATTCTCTGATCTCAACAAATTACCTTGGAGCAAGTATTCAAAATACTTTGCTCACAAAATCCAAAGCAAAGAATGGCTAGGGATAGAGGAGACAGTGGCAAATGAAGAGAGGTCTAACACTAAGGTCCCAAGACTCTCAGGTTGTTTCAGGTTTGGAGAGTTTGGGGGGAAAAAAAAAGACATTTGAAGGACTATTAAAATAAGATGATGGTATTTTGAAAAGCTGCTGCAGATTCCTTTGGCCACTGTATTTGTTTATTTCTTGCAATTTGAAGGTATGATGAAGGGGTTTAAAGAAAATGTTGTTTTATTTTTGTGGTCTTATGAATGGACATGGACCGTGGTTTGGGCACCCTTATAGATTTGCTTTCAGGGAACATGTGGGACTTGGGTTAGATCTCCTCCTTGTTTCAAAATTCAGGTAATTACTTTGGATTCCCACCTCTACTGCCTTAAAGTACCAAAGCATAAGGAATCAGTGGGCCCTGGTATGGAGAGTTCTAAGGCCAAGGAAAAAAATAAGAAGGCACCAGGGCCACTGCCAGAGCTACGAGCAGAGATGGGCCTCTGACTATGATGACCCAATTGGTGGACATGACCTTTTCTGTATTCAACAACTGACTGCGATCAAGAGGAAGATGAAGAAAAATGACAGGCCAAAATTATAGCTGTCACAATTGGCAATGCTTTAAACACACCCAAGTCATCTAAGGGAAAACCCAAAGGCAATTGAAAAAAATAAAGTTCCCACTTTAAACTCAAGAAGACTGGACATTGGGCACAGGACTGTAGCAAGCCACCGGCTGGGACCTACTTCGAGGGTCAGGTAGCTGGCATGCCTGACTCATGGCACTGGAGGATCGACTGTCACCACTCCCAGAGAGGGGCTGGGCCAGCCAAAACTCTCATCTCTCACTCTGATAAAGAGGACTGAAGGGGCCCAGGGTGACCTATAATGCTCCTACTCACAGACATCTAGAAACCCAGATGACCTTTGATATGATGGGCAAACAAATTCAATTACTCTGTTTTACTTTCCTCCCCTAGAAGATTCTCTAGATGTATAGCCATAATCGGGGCCAAGGGGTATCCTAGTCAAAGCTTCTTGGGTCAGGGATTTAGCTCAGTGGTGCTGCCACCTGCCTTGAAAGCGCAAGATCGAGTTCGATCCCAGGTACCAAAAAAAAAAAAAAAGCTTCTTTACTCCCATTCTGACATGTCATGGAAGGTCAAATGTTCCAAACATTCCTTTCTGGTGCTATATGCCCACACCACAATCTGAGAATAAAGAAAAGAAAGGGGCTTACCAATTACAAGTCCTAGAGGCAGTCTATCTTCCCAGGCAGGTCACTGTCATTCATTGC